AATTATTGTATACTTATTTGTTACTTCCTTTCTTGGTTTCTCTTGTAGCTATTTTTTCTCGATGATGTTGTCAATAATTGCAATTGTGAAACATATATCTTATTCCAAGTACTATTGCTTCATTTTGATTTGATTAAAAGTACGTTGATTTTCATGGTTATTTCGATTGTTCTAAAAAAATCTGCACTTTCAATCTTTTATTAGGTGGAAGTGAAAAGGGCTATTCCCAGGAGCGAACAACAGAGTCAACAGCAGCATAATAGTAGGGGATTGAGTAGAAACTTTAGTGGCACTAATAAAGGTAGGAACACTGATGAATTTAGGACAAAGAAGATTTTTGTAGGGGGGTTGTCTACTAACTTGACTGAACAAGAATTCAGAAGTTACTTTGCAAAGTTTGGTAGAATCACTGATGTAGTCGTGATGCATGATAACATGACCCATAGGCCAAGGGGTTTCGGTTTCATCACTTATGACTCTGAGGACTCTGTCGAGGAGGTTATGCAGAAGAACTTTCACGAATTGGCTGGAAAGCTTGTGGAGGTCAAACGAGCTGTACCAAAAGACGGGAGTAACAGTAGTGGCAATGGTTATGGCCGAAGGTTAGGCAGTGATAGAAGCTCTAACTTTAATTCTTATCATCAGCCAGGTGATTATATGCCTTACAATCCAAGATTCGGTTATTTTCCCACTGGATATGGAGTTGGAATGTTTGGTGGTGTTTATCCTTCTGGTGGGTATGGTGGAATTAGTTATGGGCTCTATTCAGTTGTCCCAAGGAGTCTATGGCCTCCTGCAATGGTTGGTGTTAGAGGCAGTTTTTGGCCTTATGCAAATCCTACACCTGTTTTTTCCTCCTATTTGAATGGTGAGCCCGTTAATTTGGTTCCAAATGGATATGGAGGTTTGTCGGGAAGTGGGTTTGTTGGAAAATCAGGGCAAATGGGCGGTGGAGATGGTCAACACTCGGCCGAGTCGACACTCTCTCACTGTTCTGCAAGTAACGTAGGTAGCCATCTTATTGGTGGGGGTAAAGACCTTGGAGCTGGTGCTAGCAGGCAGGGTAAAAGAGATGCTAACGGTAAGTCTTACCAAGAAACTACTAATTCGAGCTGACAACTCATGCGTATTTATTTGTGGATATTGACATGGTAGAAAAATTTCTCCCACTGATGGATCTGGGCTATTGGTTGTCTTGATGTATCCTGTTTAGATGACTTTCTAATTCTTACATTTTTTTTTTTTTTTAA